CTGCATATAATCCAAAGTACAAGCTTGGGTCTGTGATCAACAGACTTAAAGATCCAGCTATCTGCCTTGCATGATAGGCTCTGAGTCAGCAAAATAAAAGCTGTTGGAGAGAAAGAAGAACTTTTCATCTCTCTTCTGATGTGGAGACTTTTATGTGATATAGCACAAGGCACTGGGAGCTCTGTCATACAAAGGCTCCAAGCACCACGCAGCTGAAACATCTCCTGTTTCAGCTACCAAGCCAGAAGAAAGGAAAGAGGCAGTGGTTTGACTTGTTCTCTGAGAGAAACATCTCTTCAAGAACACACAACTTGTTTGTTTGCAGTGCTTTAAAGCCACAATACTTTCTTCATCTGCCTTGGAGAGAAGGTGGCCCTGGAAAAGCCCTCTTTCACCCTTCTCTTGCCAAGACTACAGTGAGGAAGACTGCAGAGTGACCCACAAGCATCAGCCCTGTGAGGCTTCAGGCAGATCTGGGCCCACAGCAGGCTAACCCAAAATGCTGTAGTACCCAGTCAGGCTTGTTCAAATCATTCAAGAAAAAGATAAACAAAAGAAGTCCCACGGCAAAAGAAAGTATGTTCAAAGGTAATATGAGCAACAAAACATAAGGCCTAAACAAAATAAGTTAGAGACAAAAATAAAACATCATCATGCTAGGCTAGCTCTAAGAAAGTATAAAGGAAATCTCTCTCCTTATTTGCATCCTCCTCTCTTTTCTGCACTATTTGGCTTCCTCAAAATAAGTTTTTAATCCTAAATCTCTCGGCAAGAAAATGAAATGTAGATAGCTGGCTTAAGCATGCTTAGCAATTCCTCTAAGCATCTATCTTCTATACTGTGGCTACTCTTTTTCACAAAACAGCTGTTTCTTAAAGACTGCAGCAGATCAGTTGATGGTCTGGGTTGTCTACAGCTTACTTAAAAAAAACCACACGCCCCATATCTCCTCCCCTCCTCCCAACCAAACCAAGCAAACAACAACAAAAAAAAAAAAAACAACCCACACCAAACAGGAACGGCCTTCCTCCAATTCTTCCGATGGCATAAAATCCAACAGGGGGTTGTTTTGCTCCACTGGAGTAAGTCAGTAGGATAAATGCTCCCTGGCCTCCAAGTACCCTACCCCTCACAGTGGTTTTAAGGAACAGCACTGTTGGTTCCTGGAAAATGCCAAACTGCATATAGCACAATCCCCTCGACGCCTTAGTTGCACTACCACCTTCAAATCAAACAGCCTTTTACCTTCTGTGCCACGACATACCCGAAAATAGCTTCCTGAAATTTTTTGGACAAGAGGAAAAAATTAGCATCAATATAGTCTTCTTTTTATGGTCAACTTTCTTGAAATACAAGTATTCAGTTAAAGTGCTTATTGCCTCACCTGAAAATGCCTCTCACCCCTCCCAGTGCGTGTACCACATTCGACAGCTCAAACCCCCACCACGATCACACTCCCACGTTTTGTGCACACAAATCTGTAGTACACTGAAAATGAACCTATGAGAAGAGCACAAAACACATGGAACTGAATAGGTGAATATAAAATTGTTCAGATTTTCTTAGATTTTTCTTCAAATAATATATACATCCATTTCTAAAAGCATCAGTGATGCTGCCAGGGTTTTTCAGACTCTAGAACTATGGATCAAGTTTCTGTGTAGAAGGCTGGGACCAAAACTTGAGAGGGTAAATGTCTAAAAGTGACTTAGTCATACTATTATTACACTGGCATCTTCCACAAAGAGATTGTTACTCGTGCTCAGAGTTCTTGGATGCAGCTTTCCTTCCCGTCTCCCTTCCCCTCCCAACTCCTATAGACACTCATTTTGTTTAATTAGATGAATATTCATCTCCTGACAGGCAAGAGCTGGCAATATAACAAACATCCTTCCCTCCATCCCTGTTTAACCAGAGATAGTTGAGAGGAATTGATTGCGGGGAAGTGAAGTCCTATTTTCCTGGCTCATGCTGCCACAGGCAATCAATTTGGAGCTGAGGTTCCATCTTGAAAATGTCAACCAGAATGAAAAAAGATAAAATCAAAAATTATAAAGCCAGTTTCAACTGTTCCTCCAGGTCCAGCTGCTCCCCTGGGTTCTTCTAGCACAGCTGACAGCACAGCTAGAAGAGTACCTGCTTTCTGTGCTGACTGGTGCCATGGGGTCCTCAGTCTCAAATTAAATGCCCCTCATTCAGTCCTGCAATTTGAAAGAAATTGCTGGAGCATCAGCCCTGTCCACCAGTCTGAAAAAAAAGCAGTCTGCTGAGCACAGCTGGAGACCTCTCTCCTCTGATTCCCCCCTCCCATAAAAAGGCAAAGCAGCAGATTTCCTTCCCAGGCACCATGGTGTGCTGCCTATGTACCAGTGAAGGAAAATAACCTCTACTGAAATATAAATATGGGAAAGGACAACGGTGACTTCAGCCTGGAAAAGGCTTTTTTTGGTAGTATTAGGGTGACACTCTGGTTTCACTTTTCCAGTGCCTCTGAAATATTCCAGGATGCCATTTTGCCCAAGTGTTTCATCACAAAATACTTCCCCCATCTCATGCTACAAATCTGAGAACTTACCCATAGCAAAAGCAGCAAGAACAATGGGCCTGGGCCCTGCTCCTTTTGCTGATTGTCACAACACTCAGCAAAAGGGAAATTCTGAACAGAAAGCTGTTCAGAGGCAAATAATGGCCAGGTTGATTTGGAAACACTACTCCTTGTTCAGCAGTAATGAGCTGAAGTAGCTGTGCCCTGGCTTAAGCTAGACCAGAGGTACAGAACCAGGTTGGCTGCTAAGGCATAAACTAAAAATGACAGGGACTGAGTTCCTGAGTTCCGAAAGGCCTTACTTTACTTTATGTCTACTCCACTGCAAAAGAACACCCTCACAATGTGAAACGATTGGTATTGCACTTGTCTTTTAAGAGAGACACTTTATAGAAAAACAGCAAGGTCCCTGTTCCTACGCAGGAAATAGCCACATAGGCTTGGTTCATTCTTAAATGCAGTGACCTGCAGATCCTCCAGCAGCTAACCCTGTATCAAGCGTGCACCTAACTGCTCTGAGAAGAGAGCTTCAGCAAAGCATTTCTCTCCTTCCCTGTCTTTAGATAGGGAGAGACAAGCTTCAGTTCTATCTACAGCTACCTACACTTATCTGATTCATGAACTAGCAAGAAAATCTGGGTGAGAAATCTGCACGCACACCCCGACTCTCGGTATTCCCTCCCCAGGGAGCAAACAAGGAGCCTCACTCTGCAAGTGGCCTCCCACCAAAGCAGACAGGCAAAGTGTGAGCACAGTGCATCTAGACTGCCACTCTGGAGACTGAGGAGTGCCCTGCCAAAGGCTCCCGTCAGCTGCCAATGCACCAGGCTCAGGGGCTTGCTAATCCCATCAATGGATGCACACACCAAGTGTCTTACATGGCCAAGTATACTAGTAATGGTTGTCTTCCCCCACACCTTCCCCAACTAACACAGCCTAAGAATAACCCTTTACTTGAACAATTACTGGATAATCTTTATTTTCTTTAAGACAATAGTTCCTACATTAAGTAGTGAGATTCCCAGTGGATGGCTGCAGAAAAATGATTGTTGCTCACAGCAGTGGCAAATGCACACATATACAAACAAAAGGATAAACCAAAGACCCTTCCTACTGCCCTATGAACTTCAACAGATGTCGTGTGTGGGGAGTTCATTTTTCTTTGCCCACAGATGAGCAAAGTTTACATAAAACTGACACTAGTAGAGATGACAAGTGGTAGCAGAAAACCTGAAGGGAACTGAACCACCTGATCATCTGATTTCAGGAACAAATTGTCACAGCCCAGTATTTCGCAACACCAGCCTCTTGCAATCTTCTGAGAGGAATAAGTTCACTATTCCTTTTCTTCATCATGTCACAAAAAAAAAAAAAAAAAAAAAAAGGATTTATCCACACAGATGCATTTAAAAAAAGAATATATAGTTTAGCAGGAACCTCTAGAACTTAACACTTCACCAGATGGGCCTACAAGCACCAATGAATCCCAAACCAGGTCTGACCTTGCCAATGCAGGAAATGGACTATATCATTAGACCACTTCCTCCTCAGAGCTTAAATGGACCCTCCCAAAGAAACAGCCACATAAGGCCGGAGTAAAACAGTCTCAAAGTCCTGGGAATACCAGAGGTCTTAGACATTTCTCCAACTGACACAGTCTGAGCAGTAGCTGCTCACTACCATCTTTCAAGGTTTTCAATCACAATCAGCATCCCCCAACCCCTGCCAGCTTCAAGAAACTGTTAACTACTTCCACCAAGATAGAGGAGCTCAGGACATTCATCAGTCCCCATGACTGTGTATAACAAGAACAAGTTGCAGTAGCATCCATCCTTGTGAAATCCTACCTCTACCATTTTATCAGTGAAAACCCTTTTCTATCTCCAAGACGGGAAGGAGAAAATATTTAAGGTCAACCAACACACCCCAAGGCAATTCCATCCCTGTCAGATCTCGTTGCTTCAGCAAATGTTACAAGTCGGTGACCACTAGCTCCAATTATCACCAAGGGCTAAGCTCCTTCCCTGTGCCTTAAAGGGTGCAGCATTTCTCTTTCTAGATCTTCAAAGCAGAGGAATGACACGCTCACCCAGGAGCTGCTGGCAACAGGAAGACATTCTACAATAAAAGCCAGCAATGAATTCTGGAAGCTGGAAACTCGGCAGCAGCATGAACTGCAAGAGAATACGCTCATGTACAGAGCATTCCACTGAATTAAAAAATAAGGCATTGATTCTGTTATTCATTCCTGTATTTAACTCAATAGTAATCTCTGCATACAAATGTCTCTTCTCACTGTCACTTTGTTATGCCTCAGCAGAATTTCTAGTCAACAGCAAAAAGAGAGGGGTAGGTCCCAAGAACAAATCCATCAGTCAGCTACAAACTGTATGTGAGAAGAGGGCTTTGAGTGCATTGTCAGTCAAAGCCTCGACTCTCACCTATCAGCAAGTACCCCCTTTAGTCCACATATGAGGAGAAGGGAGGAGCGAGCTGTAACACTTACGCAAGGCATGCCACTCATCCTGGCGGATTGTCTTGGTGATGTTGTAGGTGAGGTTCTTGGGAATGGTCGCTGAGGAGTAGTGGTACTTGATGTACGTGCACCGTTCAATTGCTCCTGAGAAAGGCAAAATGCAGAATAGAAAGTGCTGTTAAACAAATGCAACACGTCCCCTCAGCTGTACATCGAATGGGACTGACAACCAAAAGTAAAGGCTAGGAGTAAAGCAAATCCTACCGTCAGCCCACTGTGACAACTAATGCTATCTTTGGCCCGTGACTTGCACAAGATACATGTAGCGTAAGCTCACATCCAAACTTATGATAGACCAAAGGCTCTGCAGAGAGTTTGGTTTCCCCACCAGATACCTACATGGCAAATAACTGCTTCTTTCGTTTCTGTTCGCTGAACCAGCAGCAGTCTTACAGGCATTTACTGTACAGAAACTGTAAATTCACTTCTTAGCTCATCATGCAGCCATGTGTCTCAGAGCCCATACTCCAGGAGATACACAACACAAACATCTTTGATCTTTCCTTCAGTAACAAAAAGCAGCAGAGGAAAAATAATATATATATATACACACACATATATATAGGTACTGAAGAACTTTCCTGACTCCCTTCCCACCCCACAGCCAAGAAGCAAAACCATTCAGAAGCATACATGACAAGCTATGACACGCCTCTTGAAAGTACCCAAACCCTTCCATAGCAGGCTCAGAAACAGAATTTATGGGTGACCCTGAATAATAAGCCTCAGATGGTAATGTGAATGGCAGAAATAGGCAATCTTTCCCCCCCACCCCACCCCCAGTCAGCATTTCACCTGCATTCCATATAAAAAACAGCACCATGCACTGCTTCTGTTTGTCTTCTGGTCACATTATTACATTTTCCTTTTTCAGTCACTTGCCTTCCTCCTCAATAAGCACACCTCCAGGCCCTGATCTCCTGGCATCTCTCTGTGCAGCTAATGCCCTTAGAGGAATGGGTCTGGCATAGCTTGATGCTTTCCATGAATGGAATTTGGCCTAGCCAAATATTGCATCTAATCAGAAACCTGTGGCAGCGCAACAGTTCTTGCATTGATGCAAACTGATAAGGTTTCCTACATCCTTTTTGCCAGCACCCTCAGCTGACACTGGCTTTAATAGACCTTCTCAAGGAGCAGTTAGATACAAAGCTCATGAAAGTAATTTTTCCATTAATATCATGGTATTTTGGATCAGGCCTTTAATAACTAAATAGGCATCCTTAATGTGGTTGGCCACACTGCTTTCTACTAGCTACCCCTGGTCAGAGAAGCAGCTATGCTCAAAATGCTTTTATGTATTAAAAATACATTAAGACAGGCACTCAATAGAATAAATTAAATGAAGCAATGAATTACATAAAAAACAGTGCTATGCCAAGAGGCAGGTAGAGAACACTTACTGTCTGTCTGAACTGAAAAGTCAGAGCCATTAGCCTTATACTGACAGCTCCAAGGGGTTAAATACACTTTTATGCTACTGGAAATACAGGTTTCTACCTCGGGTTGCAAAATATTATTTGGCATGAGCTTACTTCATATACCATGAATTCACAGTGTGAATAAGAAAACCCACAAAACAAAATTACTAGTTACATTGCAGTCTACTAGTATCTTCCAAAGTTAGTGTAACACAAACATTTGAGGTCCTCATTGTTTGCTCCTCTTAAGCATTCTTCACATTCTGCCTTTGACAGCAATTAGATTAGACAAAGCCAAATATTATAGGGGGAAAAGGCAAAATATTTACATATGTATCCGCCTGCCCTGACAGCGTGATCGGCTTCTGTGAGAGTCTGCACCATCTGGGCACCAAATGTATGCCCAGAATTAAAGTTCCAAACCAAGAAGAGAATATTTAAAAGAAAAAAAAAAAAAAAAGCTACTGTGCAAAGAGCTTCCAAAAAAAGCCCCCAGATAACAACCTTGCCTTCTTATAGGTTTTCCTATTTCCTTTTGTTCAGCTGCTTTCATGGATCAGACGCTTTGACAAGAAAAGTGAAGATGCTTATTTGTCGGAAAATAATCTTTAAATTATCAGATACCTGGCTGGAAAAGAGATTTATATAGAATAGCAGAAAAGGACACAGAGCCAAGATTCAAAATAAAAGCATACAGAAGGAAGGAAGAAAAAAAAAAAAAGAACTGTTCCATTTGCTATAATTTCTGCTATGAGAAAAAACAAAATTCTGCTATAATCAGCAGAAGGCACCTCCTTCTACAGCAAAGAGGCTAATTGCAAGCAAGGTCAATCAAACTTTGTATTCTTACTATATCTATTGTTAATAGTGAGCTATTCACTATCTTATATGACCAAAACCTAAAGCAGAAAGAAATTAGGGTCATCACTTCACCATATATATAACTTGGAGATTATATTTACAACCTCTTGGCTTTAATGAGAAAGCACATGTTTAAAGACTGTCCAGAACTAGGAGTGTAACTGCAGTGGCAATTGTTCAATGGTAGCTGAAGTACAGGTAGATTTGAATAGTAAATTCCATGAGGGTCTCTTTTCCAACCAAACAACATATTACAACACTGTTCCCACCTCTAAATAACACGCTATTTAACCAACAAATATCATGACACCAACCAAGAGTTTGTAGGGACCAAAATGTGCTTTTCAGTGTACATTGTGAGATTCATTCTCCGTTTCCCCCCCTACTTGCCTCTGAAAAATCAGGATTGGCCACTGCGTGCAGTCAGCAGGGCTGAGCAGAGTACAGAGAATTGGTTTGTACCTGGGACTTGTCCCCACTACTTGTCTTACACAAGGAAACACATCACCAGGTCAGGCAGACAAAGATGCTGCTCCTGGATTTTTCACTCTTCTCTGAAGCATTAAGCATCGGTTCGCTGTTAGGATGGGTAAGCCTAATGAATTTTTTTTGTTACAGTGCTCAAAATACTTCATTCTAATCCAAGTTACTGTGCTCAATAAAGGGATAAATAGGTGAAGTGTAATGATCTATGATATACCAAAGGTCAGCTCACACAAGCTAATGGGGCCTTTTGGCTTCAGACTATTAAACTTCCCTGTGAACGCTGAGTCTAATACACTCAGGAGAATGTAGTTCAGGGTGTTTCAGAGCTCTCTTCTGTTCACTTCCAGCACTTCAGTTACTTTAGACTCTAGAACAGCAGCAACCACTGGAGAGAGCATGCAGCCATCTTCACATGGCCACTGCTGATAGCAGAGGTGGTCATCTTACTGGGAACATCAAGCTTTTCATGACCCCAACTTAGCTTTGAGATAGCTTGGCATTTAAACACGAGCCATTTATCTAAACCTGCACTCACAGGTGCAGAAGAGTGACCTTGCTGAGTTAACGCAACTGCATCAGCATGTAACTAGCTAGAGGAGAGAATTAGCTTTTGAAACTTAGAAAAAGGCTTTCAGTTGCTTGAACCTAACAATAAAAATTAGAAAAAGAGTGGGTTCATAGCAACAACAGTTTCATATCTCATGATTTTTCCTTTCTTGTCCCACACAGAAGATAACTAGATTCAAGATGCCAAAACATGCAGTTCCTGGATGCCCCTGGGAGAGCAGGAGCAGTGACTGCAACTGGGATCAGAACTACTGCTCTCCTGGAAAGTCCTCTTAGAAAAAAGACAAATCCTTGTCTTCAGATGAATGAACAGGTATGTTCACTCCAGTCTTTGGGGTGGAGGAGAAGCAAGAGTATAAAAACAGTCATAACCTTTTCCCTTCCATACCTTCAATAGGATAACAGCCATTTATGGAGCATCTTGAGCCTTCAGAACTAACTTAGAAAGACCAACTACAGTTGAGCTCTGTACCTTGCTCAGATAACTGGGAATAGTATAGAACAAACCAGTGAGTCTGCTGCTGCCATCACAAGTGTTACAGCTGGCAACAAAAAAAAAAAAAAAAAAAAGGCAGGAAACCACCTCAAAGCTGCTCCACTGACAGATGCAGTATATATGCATGTTCCTCTGATCAAAGGGAAATGAATGCCAAAAATCCTACAGAAGAGCAGCTGACATCTTCAAATAGAGCACTAGGAAAGGAATCAGAAGGAAGCTGCAGTAGAACCATGTAGAGCAAAACTCTGCCATACCATGCTCAACATAAGCACAGATACTCAAAGGGGATTTGGCTGCTCTAAGTCTGTGGTTGGCAACCTCTTGTTCCAGTAAAGTTCAGATGTCAGACAAAATTGAGTTAAGGAAACTAGAGACAGCTTCATCCAGATCAGCTAAGTATTCATGGCATCAAACATGCCACTCCTCCTACTGATCCATTTATCTCCTCAGTTCCCCTCCCATGTCTGTTGAGCATTGCTCCACACTACCACCTGATTGTTACATAATATTTCCTTTTCTCTCTATTACAAAGAAAATCCTTAACCTGTACTATGGTAGGAAGATCACTTGAAAACATTGTGCTGTTCTTTTCTATTGAATTTTAACTATGCCAACATCCTGAAGGTAGTTCAGCTGTTGGTGAAACTCAGCTCCCACTGCAGGACCAGGGCTGTGAAACATTACCCCAGCAGAGGCCCCAAACTGTTTGGTAGTGCAGAGGATGACTGAACCATTCTCCCACTCTAGGCTGAACAGGGTTGAGATCAATTAAAAGGAAGGTCACACTGCTGGTATCCATACTGTATTTGTCTAGTGGGTAAACAGGCAACTTTTCTCAGAACTTTTGGGCCAGTGTCTGTCTTCATCCACGAGCCTCCTTCTCCCCCTCTTCCAGCTTCCCCATTAAATATAATAGTTCAACACTTTCAGTCTGCTCCAAGAAACAGTCTTTACCCATGGTTAGTTTAAGAAATAGAATGAAAAATGAAGATGCCACTGGGATATTGGTCACGTCAGTCCTACAGTTTGGATCTCAGAAGTACCCAGAGGTATTTTCTCTATGAGATCAGCTTGACTTTTGCAAAGGGGGTCATCAAGTTTCAGGAATTTACACTGTCACTGTGATCATACAGTTTAGTCTTCTATATAATACAGACTAACTCATCTGAGAACTGGCAAGAGAAATAGTCCTTCAGATAGTCTTTCATCATGAGGCTGGTAATCTGTGAGAGCAGTTAGGTAAAGTTTAA